AATTGAGAGGAAGGTACAGGTATTTTCCATATGCCCTCTCTCCCCACAAATGCACAGTCTTCCCCATTATCAACATCCCCCATGAAAGTAGCACATGTTGCAAGTGATCAGCCTACATTGGCACATCATCCAAAATACACAGTTTACATTAGGTTCACTCTTGCTGTTATACATTCAATGCATTTGGCCAAATGTATAATGACGTGTATTTATCATTGCCATATCATATCAAGTACTGCCCTAAAAATCTTCTGCGCTTTGCCTTTTCATCCCTCCCACCCTCAACCCTGGCAACCACTGATCTTTTTACTGTCTCAAGAGTTTTGCCTTTTCCAGTATGTCATAAAGTGGGAATCATACAGTAGGTATGCTTTTCAGATTCCACCAGCTCTTAGATAACCAGACTCTATCTCATTTCTGCTATCCCTCCATCCAGAAAATGACCAACACTTAGCTGATCCTTCTTTGAGGCATGTTTTTCTTTTCTTGGAAGAATGGCCTGGAGCAGTGGCTTTCCAGCTCACCCGAGGAGCCCCAGCAATCTACCAAAGCATCCAGGGTGGCCGTCAGGGAGCAAAGTCATTCCAAGCTGCAGGGCTCTGGGCTGACTTCCAACTTGGAACAGAGTTCTTCTAATTATCGCTTTTACTTTTGACTTTGTGGAAGATATCTCTGAAGAAAGGAGTTATTGCTTAACAAATATTATTTAGTACTTACCACATGGCAGACATGGGGATGTTTTTAAACATTGAAAACCAAAGCTTTAGAGTAGTATCTGCCTGTCCATCTGGCTGCCTCAGAATCATCTCAGGAGGCTGCCCCAGAATCTGAATATTTAAGATTCTCGGGTAATCCTGAAGATCAGTTTAGCTTGCAAATCACCAGGCAACACCTATAACTCTCAAACTTGCCTGAAGATAAGAATCACCTGGGAAGCTTATTAAAAATATGGACTCCCAGAACTTACCAAACCATTCTCTCAGGAGAATGACCTCAAAATGCATATTTTAAAAGAGATGCGCTCCCCCGCCCCCCGCCACCCGCCGGCCAACTCCCATAAATAATCCAAGAAGCTTGGGAAACCCTGCTCTGAAGCAGGCTGTGTATGGCCATTTTTTGTACTTGCACAATTTTGAAGGCTTCGTCATTGGGCAGATATGACGCTTGGTTGTGATATGACTAGTTTAGCTTTTCTTGTTTTTAAATTTATCTCATTTATCTTATTGTTATTTAGAGACAGGGGTTCCCTCTGTTGCCCAGTCTGGAGTGCAGTGGTGCAATCATAGGTCACTACAGCCTGAAACTCCTGGACTCAAGCAGTCCTCCTGCCTAAGCCTCCCAAAGTGTTGAAATTACTGGTGTGAGCCATTGTGCCCAGCCTTTCGTTGTTTTATACTTGGTGCACATCACAGAGCTTCCTTAACTTCAGTGTTTTTTTATGCACTTAAATTTTTGATCCCCAGTTGCAGAAATCGGCTTCTAAAAGTGGCCCTGACTCCTTCTGTGTGCCACTCTTATCCAATGGTACTTGATCTGGGCTTCTGAACTGGCAAAGCAAGACAGGAAAGGCTGGAAAAAGGCCCTCTTCCCATCCTGTCAGTCCAAGAGTGCTGAAATTAGGAAACATAACAAGACTAACGTAACAAGAAAATAAGCTAGATGTGAACTGGTTCCAGAAGGCAGATTTCTGGTCATAATGTTATTTAGAATCTTGGCAATCGTTAATTTAGTGTACTAGTCCATTTTTGTTGCTTTAAGGGAATATTTGAGACTGGGTAATTTATAAGGAGGTTTTATTTTCGCTCATGGTTCTGCAGACCGGACAGGAAGTGTGGTGCTGGCACCTGCTTCTGGCAAGGGCCTCAGGAAGCTTACAATCATTGTGGAAGGTGAAGGGGCGCCAGTATGTGTATGTCACATGGTGAGAGGCGGAGCAAGAGACAGAAAGTAAAGGTGCCAGGCTCTTAAACAGCCAGATCTTGTGTGAACTCATACGTAAGAACTCATTCATTATCATGAGGTCAGCACCAACCCATTCATGAAGGATCTGCCCTCATGACTCAAATACCTCCTACTAAGCCCAGCTCCCACACTGGAGGTCACGTTTCAACATGAGATTTGGAGAGGACAAAACATCCAAACGATATCACTTGGGCAGAACATCAGAAGTGAGGCCCTCACTGCTTTTCTTTGCTTCAATCTTGTTTGGATGAAGATATGGAGAAACCCAGAAAAAAACACTCAAAGACTTACGGACATTGGGGTTAGTGCCCTTGATTCTATAGGGTCTGAAATCTGTGCTCCAGTTTTATCCCCCTCAGTGTGTCTCCTCTGGCCTGGCACAAAACAGCCGTTGTGACCCTTTCAGCTCATCCCTGATCGCTGGTTCCTACTGAGGAATGTGCTTCCTCATCCAGCCTGCAGTGGGCGCCATGGGAGATGGCGGTGTGGCATGGTGGATTGTTCAAGGGCTTTGCATTCAGACAGGTCTGATCTAGAGCTGGGCTCTATTAACTGATTGGGTGACTCTGGGCATGTTAATTAACCTCTTTGAATTAGTTTTCTCATCCACACATGAGGAGGAATAATCCCAACTCCATGAGGTTGAGATGATATATACAGTGTCTACCCTATAATTTATTTATTTATTTATTTATTATTTTATTTTATTTTTATTTTTTGAGACGGAGTCTCGCTCTGTCGCCCAGGCTGGAGTGCAGTGGCCGGATCTCAGCTCACTGCAAGCTCCGCCTCCCGGGTTTACGCCATTCTCCTGCCTCAGCCTCCTGTGTAGCTGGGACTACAGGCGCCCACCACCTCGCCCGGCTAGTTTTTTGTATTTTTAGTAGAGACGGGGTTTCACCGTGTTAGCCAGGATGGTCTTGATCTCCTGACCTCGTGATCCGCCCGTCTCGGCCTCCCAAAGTGCTGGGATTACAGGCTTGAGCCACCGCGCCCGGCCTACCCTATAATTTATATAAAATATCTTGCTTTGGAAAGTTTCTTAAGGAAAAAATTCCAATTTCTTCTTGTCAAATAATGCCTACTTCCCTAGTGGCTTCTTCCTCAAGTGTAATCACTTCCTTTTCCACTCTCCTGGGATGAGGGTGGGTTGTATTGATAGTTCTAGGCTCCTGGATATTTTATCCTAGCCTGCAACTTAGTTCCCTTTGTCCTTTCTGGGTTTATGTAGTAGTCTATAAAAGAAGTGTTATATATAACACTTACATATAAGTGTTAGTTCTTATAAGTTCTTATATATAGTCTTATATTTAAGAAGTGTTGTATAGACTACTACATGAACCCAGAAAGGACAAAGGGAACTAAGTGTTGCGAATTTTCTAGATGCAGGGATACCAGGGATGAACTAGCTACTTGTGAAGGAGTCTGGTTCTATGGTTTAATAAAACTTTGCTTCTTCACCCATTGCTCCAGGGTAGTATCTGTGGCTGAGCTGCTGGATGTCAGGCCCCACATTTTCCCAGATCCTGGACGTATCAGAACAGCTCTTTCCAACTACCAGAAACAAGCATCCGGGGTGCTCTTTGTAAAGAGTAGAGATGAGTGATATAACCTAACCTAAGCCTTCCTTTGCTCAATCATTTCTATAAGTTCCCTTTAATAGCTTGCTGCTTAAGAGCAAGTCCTCTCCCTATCTCTTCACAGAATGAGCCTTCGGAAATCATTACCACATTTATATTTTTTAAAAAGTGTCCCATTATATGGTGACAATTACAGAAATGCTTTCACCTGTGGAAGAGTCATTCTAACAACCATTTCTGTATTTCTTCTTAGTTCTGAATAATCCTTATGCCCTCTCCCTTCCGTCTGCTTCTGAAATACTTCATTCTCCACCTCCCCAGTTATTCCTTGAGTCTGGGATACTATCCATTGACAGCATTTTATCCTTGTGTGCACCACCCAGTCCCACAGGGCCTCAGGATTCAGGCAATCACCCTGTGGTTAATGTGAAGGTGGGGGCACAGGGGAGAGAGAGAGGATCAGCTTTCTCTCTCTCCTCTTCGAATAAATGAAGATCCTGAACTGGACTTCCTCTGAAGGCTTTAATTGTTTATTTTATTACAGTTCATACTCCGTTCTCACTTTCCATCTGCCTTTCCCCTGTAATTCTGTATTCCCCAGAGACTGAGCTGCAGCAGCTGGGCCAAAAAACTGCAGATGGTTCACCAGGTCTAAAGAGAGCCTTAATACTTGCCCTTAACTTTCATAGTTCCCCACCAGGTTAGATGCTGCCTTCCCTTTTGACCCTATGCTTTCTAGCTTTTGTATTCCACACTGGTGCCTTGCATGGACTTTTGATCTGATTCTAAATTGCAGGCCACCCCCACAGTAGCATCGTCTCAGTCTAGGACATGTCAGTCAGCTGGAAGAGAAGAAAGGAGAAAGGATGGGAGGAAAGGTTGACTTGTAGGGCCCAGTTGCTTTCTCCACAGGTTAATGGTCACTGGGCTTCTTAGGTAACGGGGCTCCCCATCCCACTGTGCAGGGGCCACACCGCACATCCTTCTCCCTTGCTCTCCTCCTTGTCACACACAAGCCAGTTGTTTATTGTCTCCATTTAGCTCTTTTCAAGTGGCACAACATAAAGGGCCTATCACTTGTGTCACATTGAGTGCTTTCTGTGTTGATTTGCTGTTCTTCATTTGCCAGACCTCTGGCCCAAAGAGCAAAGCGAATACTCAATTTGATGCACATGGATGATTTTATTTATACAGCAACTATGAATGGATTAGAAACTTGGTATCTCTGGTATGTACCATATAGAGAACAATGAACCAGGTTACCTTTTGTTCCTTTCTGAGAAGTTTGGGTATGGTTGTCTTAGGGCCACTTTGGGAGGTGTTTGACAGCACTGCCCCCTTGAATGTGGTCACGCGCAGCCTTCTATCAGAACTTCCCTCCTGGGTGTCCAGCTGTATCCTTCCAGCATTCCTTGGTTCTGACACGTGCTTAGCTTTAATCTCTTTTTTGGCTTCCAGGGAAGGACATGGCAGCTGTGCAGAGGACCCTGATGGCTTTAGGCAGTGTTGCAGTCACCAAGGATGATGGCTGCTATCGGGGAGAGCCATCCTGGTTTCACAGGTAAAAGTCTCTTCCTTGATCCCTGGCCCACAAGGTGATTTTAACCAGAGGGAGGGTCTGAAGCCTTGGAACTCTACAGAGGCTTTATGTACAAAGCCCCAGGACCAAGCATTGCTGTCTCCACAGCTGTTTCCCCAAAGCAATGAAAGACTGATGCTTCTGTACAGGCCAGTAACCTAGCCAGAGCAGAAATGGTTGGGCCTTTTCTACCAGATACCTGCATCCTCCAGCTCCACTCAGGTTCTGTTTCTCCTGAGGCTCAGCAGGACTGGATGACCTTTCTTGAAGGTGGCTTCATGTCTGAACTTAGTTTTATTATGACTTCAGCC